CACAACAATTAAAAATATGTATTTTCGTGTGTTTCTGTGGGTATTTGTAGTATCCCAGAGTAAATTTAATTTCTGTATAAATCTAGAGCCAGCTAGCATATAGAGACTATATCTATCGTGATCATTGCCTCCTGCAGTAAGGTAGGGCTCACTTGAGGGATGGAGTATGTTCACAGTTAAGATTCACATGTTAGTCCTGTGTCTTTTGATTTATCATATGGTTCCTAATTCAAAGAAAATGTGTCATCTTCCTTAAACTATGAGTGCAGCCCAAAAAAATCACACTGCTGTGGAGAAGAGAAGCAGGGACCAGATGAGTATTGATGTTCTGCTCTGATATAAAGTTGAGGCTTTTTCTCTACATGTCAATGTCATCTCCCAGTTTAAACTTAGATATTTCAGTTTTGTTCTTTGCGTGGAAGATATTGATAGTCTAGGATATTCATCTTTAAAGAGAACATCTTTTAGGAAAGCTCTGTTTAAAAAGTGTTGAGAGGTAATAGCAGTTTGGTTATTTACAAAGGGAATGTTTGTACTGGCCTATGCATTACAGTTCTCTGGATAAGTATATATTAGCTTTTGGTATGTACGTGTAATTATGATAATGATAATATACACAAATAATTTCAGATCCTAAATGTTGCCTCAAAGGCGCTGAGAAATGCAAAAGATACTGACTGTTGCTTTTTCATACATGCAGTCAATGAAAAAGCAGATCCGTGGCTCCATCTACTGGAGTTCAAAACAGACAGTGAGTGTTGCTCTTTGTTGACTACACTGCACTCCCGCATACTTTTGTGTGTAACCACTTGTAGAAGCTGAAATAAAAAATACTGGTTTGTTTTTCAGATGGTGCATTGGTGGAATAGATTTCTCTGGAGACATTGGTGTAATATTTTGACAATTTTACCTGTTTTAACACTTGCGGGGTTCTTTCTGCTGTTACAGTCACTGTCTGAAAGTTGAGCATTTCGTTTCTTTTGACACGATACAGTAATACATAAAATGTAGAGCTTGTGTAATTCTTACCCTGTGCATTTCTGTATTTTATACTCATACAACTACTGTAGCAAGATGAAGACCTAATATTGTATAATCGGATGGTTATCTCCTGTGTGGGAAGAATAAGGCCCAAGCATAAAAAAACTTGGCCTCTGTTTTCTCCGTAAATTAAATACATGACTTTATTTCTGAGATTAATGTGCGTTTTGTAACATCTTGGTCCAGATCAGTGTAAAAGGAAACAATTTCCATATGATCAACTTTTAAAAATTGCTAATAAGAGGGGAAATGTTTTGTTTGCACTTTGCCTGTTTCTCATTTACATCGGTTTCAGCACAGGAGTTCAGAAACTGAGCTGTACCTAAGCTCTTGAGGAAGAGCAGATACTGAAATAATCCAGCATTACTCTGGCTGCAATTAAGTTTTCAAAATAGTTTACTTACTTTCCTTCAGTATATCAAACTGTCTTGTGTAATGCCAGATGAAAAAATGTGCATCAAAAATCCATTCCATAAAAGCAAAATTTGAATATCTAATGCAGCATTGAGTAAATACTTCAGTTTCAGCAATAACTGGATTGTAGAATTGAAAAGTAATGGTTTATGTATTTGACCAAGATTCAGATATCTGTGCAGAATACTGTGTAGACTATTTTTTGACAGTTCACATTATATGATAATGATGCAAATTATATTTTGTCCTAAACAAGGAGCCTGATCTAATTGAAATCTTTCTTAGACTCTCACTTTTCCTTGATGCTTCTTCTTTACTTGGCTTCTTGTTAGTATTCTAAAAACCTAATCATTTTAAGATACAAGGAGCTTTTTCTTAGGTCCTAGATTGGATCAGAGTTGTTGTCCAGTTTAAATTTGAAAGGGTCATCTGGAATGGCATAATACCATTGCAAAGGTGTATGCTGTTTTCCTTTTTTCTCTGTTGCAGCTTTTGAGATGATGCCAGTAGGGATGAGGATGTTAGATAAAGAAAATTAGTGGTTTCATAGAGGATATGTAGCTGAAGTGAATTTCACTCTGTAAGGGTCACTGCTATAAAGTGGTGAGCAGAAATAATTATGTTAAGTGTGAAGACTGAAAGGAAACACCTTCTTTTCTCATAATAGGACATATATGGCAGTTTATAACCCCTCTACAATGTGTGAAAAAAAATTAGCGAAAGATCTTATTTTATTAATTTCTGAGTGTATTTATATCTTGAAATGTATATTATTTTTTCCTGTGTTGCCAGCAGAATTGCCACTTGAAGTGCTAAACTTTGGCACTTTTACACTGCAAAATGTGCATATATAAAACCCACAGTATATGCAAATAATATTCAAAATATTAATAAAATATGGACAATATTCAAATTATTCAAACTGTATATGCACATAAGCATTCACATATGCATATATACATGTGTTTTAAGAAATGTCCTCTGATAACTATTGTAGACCTAGAAAGAACAATATATTATAGTTGGTTCATATTTTATGAGTGAGGATTTCTGCTGCTTGGACAATAGGAGAAATGACAGTTTATTTGTGCTCTTCCTTCAAGAGGCAAGGAAGGAAGAATGGCTGAATAAATGCCATTTTGTTATCTGCAGTTAGAGGCAATGTATTCTGTTAAAACTTGTTACCACCTGGAAAGCTAAGGCCGTGTATGTTCACAGTTCAGTTATTAGGAATAATTTCTATTATTATTTAGACACAGCCTTTGTATTTCCAGTGAAAGTTACAATATGTGCTTTTTGCTCAGTTTTCTGCTTCCTTCTGTTCTCAACTTGGAGAATCTTATAATTATAAACCAGGACGGTTTGTTCTCCAGTGACCTGACAATTAAGGTGTAGGTAGGAAGGGGAGTAATGTGAGCAAACGTTCTGTCTGAGCATAAAATGCCTGTAGTGATTTAATGTATTTTAAACATATTTTGCTCATCCACTGCATCTGTAAAACTGCATTCTAAAGTCTTTTTTTCAGCAGTTAAGATGTCTCCTTAAAATGCAAGGAAAAATACCATCTGTATATAATCTTGCGTTGTGTGCGTGCATATCCATACATACCGGCATGCCTGCAGGTATGCGTTCACAAAAGAAAAAAAAAAAATCACAATAGGTATGGTAGTGGTTAAAGAACCAAGAGAGTTTTATATGGGGAGGTTAGAGAAGGTTACATGAAGCTTTCAAAAGCCTATTTTCAGTAGACTGAATTGTGGACAGATGAGCAAGCAGGTGTAATGTAAGCCCCTGTGTGAGTTCACAGGGCCTCTGCTTCTCTGTGCCGTTGCCTCTGCTTTTGTTTTTACAGTGGTGTAGATGCAAACTACCTTATGTGTCAGTGAAATGGAACAACTGGCTGTGTTCATCTGGTGGATGTGGTTATTCTGATGATGTCTGTGTGTGCCTGTACCATCAGTTCTGTCCCAATCAGCCTGAACTCAAATTTGGGTTCTAGTCACAAGACCCTGGGTATTGTCTAGGTTAGATTTTAGCTTGTTATCAGAGATCACTAATGACTTCTAGGAATTAGTGGTTATTCCCAAGTTGTTTCTCTCATTGTAAACTACAAAATTGCTTATTGATTCCTGGTGCTTGTGAATATTGTGGCTGCATGGCAGTGCACGTTCAGATTTGAGATGTACTAAAAATGTTAACCATGTGGAAAGTACAGTCCAATGTCTAGTCAGAAATAGTCTCTGAACTTACTTGTTACCCTTTTTTTCACAGTAACATAACATCTATATAGTTTTATTACTCCTTAAATATTCTGTTTCCATTTTTATTTTTATGTGTGTGTGTGTATATACACACACTATGTAAATATATATATATGTTGTTCATAGGTATTTGCTGTAGCTGCATAACATATGAAATTGCTCATTAGATGAATGAATTTGGTTTTGCATTTGACATACAAACATTGTTTAGATAAATGACCTGATTTTTATTCTTATCTGCTGAACACTTGCAGCTCATGAAGTTGCACTCTGGCATTATACCTACAGCCTCTCCTATTCTTGTGATTATATATCACATGTTTTTATTGCTCCCTCTGTGGTCCTGTCTCTCACAGTGATAGTTTATTATAATGAGAATAAAAAGGAGATAGAACTGGTATATATTTCATCAAGATTAATTTTCCTCTAGTACATCTGCTGTGCTGATCAAAATAAGTTTTTATGGCTTAAATATTTATAAAAAATGCCAAGTGTCTGTGTATAAAACACTTTTTGCTACTTTCAAAAATCTGCAAAAATAGCTAATTATAAGCAAGTAAGCTACAAGAGGATTTCAGAAGAAGTGTTCAAATGAAACATTAAAGTTGAAATCTAGAAACATGATCCCATATTTTGACAGTGAATTCCTAGAACTTTAGTTCCTTAGGAAGAATTTTTGGTCGTGCATATTTTAGCTGGACTGCAATGCCAGCATTTTCTTGCTCTCTATATACATACATATAGCCTTTAGCAGGAACACATACAGAAATTAAAAATCCATCTGAAAGTTCCGTGAAGATTGGAAAATTTAAATCCTCTTTTTTTTGTGAAAAAAATCTGAGTATTTAGGAACACAAAATAATGTTTTGTTCTTCTCAGATCACAAAAAATCAAGTCTTTCTAAGAGAGCTTACAGTTTATAAGACTTGTCCGAAGAACTTACAAAACCAAGGACATTTGGGTGATATATTTGTGTATCTTCTGGCATGTAGATTTTATACTATTACGCAGTGTCATCTGCATTGTATAATATATATAGTACTGTATCTCTCATTTATAGAATGTTTTCAGACACATCTTTGCTCAGCTTCTGAGTTTTCACTGCTGCCTATTGAGTATCACTTTGAAATTCTAAAAATCTGCAGTAATGCATACACAACAACTTGCAGCTGTACATAAAATTGTTGGCATCTCATGTATTTAGGCTGACTTAAAGTCTGTTCAAGTGGATTTTGAGGCTGAATCATTTATTTATTTATTTTTCCTTTTTTTTTTTTCCCATCCCAGATTAGATTATTGGCTGCGAAGAGCCACGGACACTTTGTGCCCTGATGGGGGACTCAGGATCCAGACGATCGACTCTAGTATCTCGGTTGCCAATATTCAGGAGAAGTATTAGCCGGAGACACGACTCCCTACCTTCCTCACCTTCTTCTGCTAATGCCATTGGTGTCCATACCTCCTCTCCATCCAGCACTAACTCTAGCTCAGGGAGCACAGGCAAGCGCCGGAGTATTTTCCGCACTCCTTCCATTAGCTTCCATAACAAGAAAGGGAGTGAGCAGAAGCCTGACTCAGCTAGTCAAAATGTTAATATCTCAAATGGTGCCCAGTCCTCTCTTGACACTTTTCAAAAACTGAACTTAGAGGAACACATTAAAAGCAGAGGAAGGCATTCAGTTAGCTTTGGCAGCTCACGTAGCAAGAAGATAACAAGGTCTTTGACAGACGATTTTGAAAAGGGAAAGGAGCCCTCAGCTAATAAGAATGTGTTTATAAATTGCATAAGCTCTGGGAAGAATGAGGGTGATGATTCAGGCTTTGCAGAAGAGCAGAGCCGGTACTCTGTCAAACAATCCACACGGAAACTTCTCCCTAAATCTTTTTCATCACACTACAGATTTTCCAAACCAGTTCCGGAGAGTCAATCAGTTACCTCTGTGCAGCAGTCCAGGTGCTTGCTGGAGGTTAAATCATATGCGGAAAGTGAACCTGTGATCACCAAGTCCTCTCCTCCATGTTCGGCTGAGACGACAGAGTGCATGGGAAGCTCCTTGCAGTCCCCGCTGCTCTCAGCTGACCTCACGGCTGCCCAGACCCCCTCTGACTTCGTTGCCCTGACGGAGGATTCTGTTTCAGATGTTGACGCTCTTCCCAGCAACGGGACTGGGGTGCTGCTCACAGAGGATTTTGGCCACAATGTCTCTACCTCTCAGATCTTCTTTAATCCTGCTGCTGCTCCTGTGAGGGAAATGGATATTGTGGAAAGTACTGGCCATTCTGCTGGTGTATCTCCTGTGAGTCATGCAAGCTCGTGTAGTGTTGAAAATAGTACCTTATTCAAAACCTCAGCTGCTAATCAAACAAAAGTATTGTTGCAAGCCAATGAACTACACATGAATGATGCCAGGCACATAGGAGAAATTAACTCAGCAAATGCACATTTAGAAACCTTTGCGTTACAGCGTAGAGAAGAACCAGTGATACTGTCTTCAAAAGCACAGGGTTTGAGTGGGGACAGGAATGAAAGCACGCCGTCCAAGCACACGAGAGAGACAATTCCTGTAACGGAGTCTAAGAATGTTCCATGTTCTGAACCTCAGTCCTTTAAAACACAACAGGGTTATGAAACAAACCGTTCTAAAGGTATGTTTTGTGTTCTTTTCATTGTTGGGTTTGGTGTTTTTTTTTTTTTTTTTTTCCTCGGTTCTTTTTGTAAGTATTGGTCGTAAAGTGTTTTTGTAGTGTTGCAAGTGCTAGCTAGGAAGTTCAAAAGTTATGCATTGTGTCCTCCTCCCCAAATTATAGGAATGAAACAAAAAGTCTGTGATTTTTTTTAAGCTCACACCTTACAGTTTGCTCACACCCACCAGTGCTGTTCATAGCTATGCTCTCCTGTGGTAGAAAATGAATTAAGAGAGAGAGCACTGATTCTCATCTCTTGTTGAAGGCTACAGCTGGGATTTTTGGGGCATGCCTATTTTGGACTTGAGCCATATAGTTGCATTTTTTTGAGATGGAAACATTGCCAGAGAAATGTACCTTCTTTTAGTCTGGTTATGAAAAATAACACAGTTTATCTTATATTGAGCTGGGTTTCAAAATTTCCTGATTCTCGCTTGCTTTATTCAACTGGTGTTATAGAGTAGCTTGGAGTAGATGTTTCTGTGGCAGAGTATGACATCCTGTTTCTGCTTCCATCAGAAATAATATTGTGCAAATTCTCATTATGTCATCTGTGAAACGGAGAGTGTGAATTACAGTTGTGTCTGGGACTTCCACGTCAACAAATTGCCATCTAAATTTCACACTGGATCTTTAGCTTCTGAAAAGAAATTTGGAAATATTAACAAGATTAAGTGGAAAGGCTTTACCTAGAAATCCCAGTCTATAGAGATGCAGATGAATAAAGGCACCAGGCCCTTGAGTGAAGAACACATGTCAGAAGGCATTTATCTCTGACAGTTTATTTTCTCAAACCAACCTAAACACTGGTACTTTCTTGCATAATTATGAGGCTGTATCTGGTGGGCCAAAATTTTGAGTTAACAAGACCTCAATTACATTGTTTGTATTAAAAGATGAAGGGATGTAAACTCATATGAATTCATACCCATCTTTTTGCTTGGATATTTATCTAGACATCTAGATTATAAGCAATCCAAAGCAATCTTGTTTTTTGAATTATTTGTCACTGCAAGGCTTGGTTGGATATCTTGTACATAAATGGCAAGATAAAATCAAATTAAACCACTAAATTAGCTTTCACCAGATGAGACCTCTTTCCCTCAGAACCTTAGTCAGAATATTTTCATTTATGTATGTTACCAGTCCTGACCACTTGGCTGGCCTTCCTTGCAGCCTTGACTCATCTGTGAATGAGCTCATCCTTTTGTATATGACTTACTAGAGTGTACTGCAGAACAGCAAGTGAGTAGCTTGGAGTGATGTTTAGGAATATGTAGGGCATTTGAAACTCATGCATTGGCAGTTGTATATTTATTCTTCAAAGAAAGCTAACTGGAGTTGAAACTGTGACAGAGGGATTTTTGTAAATGGGATTCATGTTCACAGAAACACTAGAGCTAATACGTAATAGAGCTAATAGATAAAAGTTGATGATTGTTATGGTTTTATAGTGCTGTTCAAAATGCATTTTTTTTGACTTGTGTGGTGAAGAATGTATTTAAAATTAGAAACTGGCCAAGCATACAAAAGGACCATTGAAAAAAGATATAAAATCCTGTCGTATGAAATGAAACAAATATAGAAAAAGCTTACATGGCATTCAGTAAGATAAGGTTATAAGTAATTTTATCTGTTACAGACTGGTTTGAACACTTGGTTTTGCTAAAATAATACTTAAAAACAGATGTGAATGCAAAATATTTCTGTGTATTTTGTTTTAATAGAGATTTTCTGTAGCAGGATTCATAGCTGATATCATTGTAGATAGTATTGTGAATGTGACATTAATGTATGAGCAAGTTTGATGTCCCATATATTTCTTAGTATGCCTTTATATATTTCTATGTGATACAGATTTTTTTGAAAAGCCTTAGAGAAAATGTCTGTTCTCTTGCAAAAGGCAGAAGAAAAGATTTTCTGTGTTACGTTTATTATGCTGTTATGTTTTTATCTTTCTCCATCTCTAAATTTGTCCTAATGCCTCAAAATATACTTTTTCCTCCTCTTTTCTGATGTGTTATTGTTTAACAGCAGTAATTGGGACTGGGATTCAGCCTGCTGGCTGCAGGCTAGGTTTGGAGGGTGTGGGTGCAGACCTGAGTTAGGAAGACCAAACAGAAGCCAAAACCGATGTGCATCCCTGTTCTGTGCAGTGATAACAAGGCTGTGACCTGGCCATACAAAACCTAGATTTGCCTCTGGACACAGGGTAAGGCAGGTTGGGTTTTGGCAGCAGTGAACCAAGTGATAGTTTGTGATTTTACTGAACATCAGTTTGGAAATGTTCTAGAATGAGGGAGGAAAGAAAAGGATGGAGCAAAGGTCCCTCTGGATTCTGTGAGGAGCCATGGACTTGTCTGTAGTGTGCTGAGCATGCTAGTCACTGGGTGCTGAAGAGTGAAGTGGTGGCCCAGGTGACAGTTTTGTTTGGGTAAGCAGGATCTGCTTTCTGTAGAACAATAGTTCTTTCTAATGATTGCTGGTTACTTCTCTATTTGTAGCTGATCTTGCCAATAGCTTCAGTCCATACCGAGAAGGCAGATTTGTTGAGAAACGACTGAGATCCTCTTCAGAAGGTACTGCTGGAGGCAGTCGGCTGATCATAAAACCAAAGGATGGAAATGCAGAAGAGCTTAACAGCCTACGGAAGCAGAGAGCAAGCTCATCCTCTTCAAAAATGAACAGCATGGTGAGTTTTATTTCCATATGCCTAAGTTTTTGTTTTTCTGTGATTGGTGTAACTATAATAAGAAGCAGCAACTTTACAAGTAATGGATGATAATAAAGGGGGGAAAAAAACCCCAAGCTGTCACAGGCTTCCAAAATATGATCCAGGATCAGCTACAAATATTAAATAGTATTTTTTTCAGGACATGATGATGTGAAAAGGTTTGCATATTTTCTGTGAAGAGATTCTTGGCATGCTTTGCTGATTAGCCTGGAAGAAAAATACTGGGAGAGGGAAACTGCAGCAAAATTCAGTTTGACTGTTTCTGAGGTTAAATACAGTGAACTACTTTGTGGCAACACTTAATTGTTACTGTGTTAGTTTTTTAATGAACGTATGTCTGGTATGAGTGAGATGAGATTTAGATCAGAAATTGGATAGAGAGGAAGTTACCTGTAAGGAGGCTTGTTTGAAAGGTCTGAGCGATCCCTTTCAAAACTGGTGATGAGTTTGAAAGCTTTCATCTGAGCACAAGGTAAGGAGGGGTGGGTCCCAAGGACCAGAACAGCTAAGACAGATCAGATAACTGCATGAGAGTACTTCTGAAACCTCTTCTAGTGAAGCAGTAGTACAAGGAACTGACTGACTGACAGGTTTCTGTGTTCCTATAGCCAGTGAGAATAAACATTTCAAGGTGAGTGTAATTTATACTTACACATGTGCTCTCCGGTGAGTGAAGGAAATATTAAGATTGAACATCTACAGCAGTGGTATCTGCTCTTCAGCTTATGGGAATCACTAAGACAACTTTTATGGACATTATTAGATCAAAATATTGTATTCATCATGCTAGCTGAAAAAAGGATTCACTTTGTACTCATATCTGAAAACAGCTGTTCTCAGAAAGCAAGAAGCTCCAAGTTTCTTACCCCTGCCTAGTTTCTAAACAGATGTGTAAATTAAAGGGGCTTTCCTGTTTCAGGTTTACGTAATAGCTATTGTGTTACAATGTACAATGATGCAAGACCAAACACATCCTTGAGAGACTCAGATGTGAACACAACGGCTCTTTTGAAGAGAGAATTTTTTCAGCTTTTCGGAGATATGAAACTGATTGGTTCAAACTGATGTTAGATTTCCAGTTACGTGCTCTTTGGGTGGTTTTACAGGCTAATACAAAACCTCAACAACTCATACCATTGTTTAGACAACTTTTATGACTGTGTGCTGCTTTGGCTGCCCCTAAACGTAAAATCTTCTCTCTCACCCAAGAAGTCAAGGAAGGCTAAAATTGTCTTCCTTTGTGAGATTTGCCCATACTAGTTACTGGTTGGTCATTTAAAAATAGCTTCCCAGAGAAGGATCTAATTTAGTGTGAAATGCCTTTACAGAACCTGTGTGGGAAACTGGGGTTTGGATGTTTTTCAAGAGGATATGAAGTCTGTGTTTTTTCTCGGTGTATCTCACCCATGAGTCTCAATGTATCATTCAAATGTTCCTTTGTGGCTGGGCTTACAAATGCTTCTGTGGACATCAGGAGAAAATTACATCAATACTAAGCACATTCTTACTATGATTGGCCAACGCACAGCAGATTTTTCAGTGTACCAGTGTCCTGAAGCAATGGTCACTAAAAACACTCAACTAAAATGGAGTTACTTGATGTTTTTTACAGAAATGTTTGCTTGTGCATTCACTTTGTGTAACCTGGACAGATTGGATTACCTACACTTCAATGACAGGGTTATTCTCCTCTTAGCAGTATCAGATTGTGCAGATTTATCAGTATTCACTGATGAATTTTATATTCCCTGAGAGGGCAGGAGGCAAATTAATTTTAGGAAGGAAGCCTTTCTGCTTTCCACATTGTTGCTAACTTCTCAGATGAAGTAGTACAGTAATGCAAAATTTATTTAAAAAAAAACCAAAACACCTTGATTTTTTTTTTTTTTTTAAATCCATTGGATTAATACATCCAGAGATACAGCACAGAAATAAAGAGGTAGAATTGCTAAATAGTAGAAGAAACGTTTGCGCTATTAAAGCATATAGGTATAGCATGTTTCTCTGTTTCTGCAGCAAGTTCACGTTTAAGTATCTGTGAATAACATTTTTCAAAACCAGAAAGAACATGATGACATTTAAAGATGCTGTTTCATGTAGGCATGCACAGTGTTACGCAGATATAGTTCCTGTCCTAAAAAGCTGGTTAGCTGTGGCTAAAGCCTGTAAGCCTTATTTGGGTTGTTAGACCCAAGCTGTTAGGCAGATCTCTGTGTTAATTTTAATACCAGGCTAGACTGATGCCATAGTGCTTCATTCTATTTAGCCTTGTATTAATATTGGGAGTGTAATAATGATGGGACCAGGAAGGTGACAACACAGTAACAACAGGAAGTAAGCAAACTGTGCATGGGGGTTAGGTGGTGATTTGAGTCTCTTCATGTTTTGTGTATGAAATCCACAGGGTTTTTTTTTTCCAGTTCCATTAGCAAGATTGTCCACAAATTCACAAGTGCTTGCTCACGCTTATTGGTATTACAGTCACAGACCAAGAACTTTTATGTCAAGATAAGGGCATACTTATGCGTGAAGGTAAAATATATCCCAATACATATGGATATCACCTTCATATGTTAAGAAAAAATGCTAGATAAAAGCTTTTTTAGTACAAAGTGAGGTATAAGAAGTAGTAAAACAACAAAACCAACACTACACTCTCTTCCACACATGTGGAAGGAAAAGGAATTCTGGAAGGAAATTCTGTAAGGAAAAGGAATTTCTGGAAGGAAAAGGAATTAAAAATGGAAGAAATTGAATGTCGTGATAATACATATCTGAACAGTAAAAAGGCCCCCTCAAAATACTTCTCACAAGCAATGTTTAGCAGCACAATAACATATTGTTACCAGTGAATGATCTTAATGAACAACAAATACTAGGTAAATAATTGGAGTTACTAAATAAAGTATTATTAGAAACCTTAACCTGATTTTCTTGTGTACCTAAAAAACCATTAAGTCACTCTTCTGTGGATACCCGTATTCATTTTGTTCAGTTTTGAAAGGAAATGAACCACAGGCATTTTAAGGGATAGCAAGTTCATGGGAGATGGCTGAGGCTTCCTTGATGAGGGCAGCACTGTTGTTCAGTTCTCCTCCGAGGCACCAAGTGAGTGGTAGTAGCTGTGGATGCTGGTTTTCTGGCATCATCCAGACATCATGTTAAGAGCTTTGTAGTGTAGAAGATACCCTTTCCTCACAAACTGAAGAAGGTCCTCCAAGACCCTGTTTGCTTTCTTTTTCTTCTTGGCAAGCAGTGTGGGTGGCTTCTGCTGAGGGGCTGGTGGGAGTAAGGAGCCAGAAGAACTGAGGGGATGCTAGGTTTTCGCAGGAGATGAGAAGAAGAAGAAGAAGGAAAAAAAAAATTAGTATCTGAGAAACTGTTCTTCCTCCTAAACAACTTGCTCAGCAGAATGTTCTTTCAGGATTGGTAGTGCTGTTTTTGAAGGCGATAGATAAAAGCTTGGATAGGTGGATCTCCTAAATACTGAGAACGTGTTATCAGACCTACAAAGATGGTCACCATGTCCCCCAGGAGTGGCATTAACTCGCTTGAGAGGTGTGGAAAGTAATGATAATCTGGACAAGAGCAATGCTACTCATAAATGAGATTTAGGGAAATAAAACAGTCTTTCAAAGTAACTCTGCAAACATGCCAATTTCATAGTAATGTAAATAATGAACTAAACCAGACTCTTGAGATTAACTGCTTAGATTACTAAATATGTGTTTTCCATCAGAATGGTTTCAAAGACATCATTCTTGCAGTGACCGATTTCTGCCACAAGATGCCACAATTTCATTAGAAGTGGTTTCAGACTGTAGTACTACAGTTAACACATAAGGTGAAAACTGAAGTTGAGGACACATTTTTGGAACAGTTTAATGTTGATTAGTCTATGCAGTATAATGGACCATTTTCAAATGAACATGGTTGATACTGATGCACTTTAAAGAAATTTATATTGCTGTAGAAATTGTGGTCATTCAGATGTACCAACTATGAAGTCATCAGTTACAACTTTAAAAATTTAGACATAACGTAGACTAGTTAACTGCATCTCAGAAGATTGATAGCAGCTATGGCTGACCTCTGTTCTCCAGCTAGGTGGTTCTTTTTCTCCGAAAAAAGGCAAAAAGAAAGAAGGAAAATACAAAGCAGCATGGTAAAAGACCTGAATGACCTGAAATATGCAGCCCTGCAAGACCAATGGAAAGAATGTAAATGTGGGTCGTTGAAATGTGGGAGAGAATTAAAAAAAAAAAAGGATCACACCCAGATCACTGTAAATTCTTTAAAAGGATTAGGAGATAGAACAGCAGGAAAAAAGAGTTGATGTGTAAGAGTAGAAATTGAGGTTTGTGTGAGCAAAAAATTTATCCATCACCCCTCACAGTAGTGGCTAATATGGAAAGATAACTATCCTAAATACCACCTTTACCCGTAGTAGAGAGGAAATGTTTTTTTTTTTTAAAAAAAAAATAAAATTCATATTTAAAAAAAAAAAGTTCCTGATAGAGATTTTTCAATACTAACAAATTACAGTCATTAAAACCAGATAGTTATGAAGGATGATACAAATGAAAGTAGCTGTATGTTACTACAAGTTAAAAAAAAGTTCAGAGGATTGTTTGAGCTCCTAGACCACACTGCCCAAATTCAAGCCGTGAGCTCCACTGTGCTGTGTGCACACATGTGTTTTTACTCTTTCCAGAAATATGACTGCGTACATGCAGCAGAATGAGACTGCCCACTTACATTTGGCACTCTCAAATGTGTCTTTCTGTCCCTCTGCAACTGTTCACGTAGAAAATAATTGTCTGTATTTGTGACTGCTCCCTTGCACACACCTGGCTACCAGCATATATGTCATATAACTAAAAGAAACCTTATTTTTTTGTTTTATCCTTTCTCACTGAACATTGTCCTTTGTTCTGCAGGACGGCATTTCTCTGGGC